TCACCATTGAGGCCACAAGGGAACCAGGTCCTGGAACTATAGTTACAGATGTTGATAACCACAACTTGGATGCTGGCAATGGAACATGGGTCTTCTACAAGTGCACCAAGTGCTCTTTACTGCTGAGTCATCTCTCTAAGCCTCCAGGACTTAAACTTTCAATCCTCCTGTTTCACACTTCCAAGTAGATGGGATTATAGGCCAGTGTCACTGGCCCTCCTCACTTATTATATGATTGAACCTATCTTATTCAGGCATCAAGAGGAAATACTGTGTTTTTGTATTTTGATTTTTGTATTTTTGGTTCAGTCTAGGGATTGAACTCAGTGCCTCAACCAAGCTAGGCAAACAAATTACCACTAAGCTATATCTCCAGCTTTTTTTTTTTTTTTAATTTTGCGACACGGCTCCTATAACTTCCCAGATAGCCCTTAAACTTGCATTCCTACTGCCTCGGCTTCTTAAGTAGCAGGAATTACAAACCTGTGTCATTAGGCCTGGGCCAATATATCAAACTGCAATGTAGTTTTTCATATTCATTGTATGTTTCTTGTGCTATGTGTGTGTCTGTGTTTGTGCTCATGAATACACGTGTGCCTGCATACTAGATATCAATGTCCAGTGTCTTCCTAATTCTCTGCGATACTATATATCTATCTATCTTTTGGTTTGGTTTTGTTCTTTGACATGGAAGCACTGTGTAGCCCTGTCTGGCCAAAGTTCCCTACATAGACTAGGCTGGCCTTGAACTCACTGATATCCACCTGCCTCTGCCTTTCAAGTGCTAAGACTGGTGGCAAGCCCCAACAGTTCAGAACTTATTTGTTCTTGAGACAAGGTCTCTCACTCAACTTGGAGCTCATTGATTCAGCTAGAGTGGCTGGCCAGCAAGCCCGAGGATCTTCTTGTCAATGCAGGTACACACATGACAGTATGCCTGGCTTTTTACGTGGGTACTAGGGATCAGAATGCATATCCTCCTGCTTGGGTGGCAAGCACTTTACTGACAGCAATCATCTCAGCCCCTTGACATCTATTTTGAAAAGTAAACATTAGCTGAATTTCTACATAGAGGAAATTGCATCACATTTAATGATACTGAGTTCCCCTTTGTAAACTGGCTGTATTTAATGCCTTTCTTGAATTTTAAGAAATTTTTAAAAATGTGTAACCCCAGACTATCACGTTAAGGAGCTTTTGTTATAGTTCACAATGGCTGCTTTGTTCCACAAAACTTCGCACTTCACGTTGATGCTATCTAATGATCTTCATGCTCTCACAGATTGTGTTGAACAACATAGATTTGTGGAGAGAAGCTACATTTTATATGTCCTGCAGAGACAGTTTGTATTTCCTGCAATATATTTGCATGAATATCGTATTAATTTCGTTCACCATAAAAGTAATTTTCATCCAAACAATCAGAAATTTCAGAAAAAAAATTAAATCTTGGATGATGCAAGGAATCTTTTATCAGAAAGATTCCATTTTATCAGCAATCCTCATCCCCAGTACCCCAGAGTCAAAGCTCAGAAAATTCAGTCAGAGCAGCTCACTGAGCCAGCAGAGGCTGAGGGAACTAAAAGTCTGTTTGAGCAATTTAGAGAACCTTGTCTCAAGGAACCACCTTAGCATTGGTTCCTCTGACTTTTGGCTCCTGTTGTCTTTTTCTGTTGCAACTTCCCGCACTTAGAGGGAACACTAGTACCACGGGAAAAGGAATGCTGCATACCACCACTCCTTCCCCTTTGACTACTCAGCCAGTGAGTACCGCTGGCACATCAACTTCACCACGTTCTTCATCGACTGCATGGCCGTGCTCGGCCTGGCTTATGACCGGAAGAAAGTATCCAAGGCCGCTGTCTTAGCCAGGATTAAAAGAACTGGAGATGGAAGCCACAAGAGTGGCTGAGTTTTGGGCCATCTGGGTTCCTATTCCAAAAGCCAGCTTGGCAGAGGTTTAATGTTCTGCTCAAAAACCAGATGAGCAAAGGATTAATGTTCTGCTGTTGAAATGCTGAATGATACCACCCATGTTCTAAAGAATCCCATTCTAAAACACTAGTTTTGTAAAATGTCCAAATATTAAAAGGCAAGAACCCTCCTTTCTGACACTAAGCAGATAGTCTTACATCCTCACTCTTCTGTTCCCAGGGGCCTTTTTATTGCTTAGTCCTTATCAGCCTTCTCTTCTTTCTTTATTGCTTTCCAGGTAAGCTGCAGTCAGCAATAGGTTGGCATGCACCACCAAAAACCTAGCAAGCTTTTTAATTAAAGGATGCTCAGATAGCAAAGTCAACAGATTCCGTGGAGCTGGAGTTATGGGTGGTCGTTAGTTGACATGTGGGTGCTGGGAACTGAACCTGGGTCCTCTGCAAGATCAGTCAGTGCTCTTAACCACTGAGCTATCTCTCCAGCCCCTATTTGATCTCTCTTGAGTTTCAAGGTAGGAGGCTGTAGCTAAAATTTCAACCAACTCTTCTAGGAAGTTATCTGTTAGTTATCATCGAACCATGTGAAAATGAAGGGAAAGAAACAAAAAGAACAAACAAAACAAACAAGCAAACAAAACACAAGAACATTCCTTGCCAAAGCGTTTGCATAGCAGTTAAAATTATCAGGGGAGAGAGTTAGCATGCTGGGTACGGTTCTTAAACAGGGATGGTGATACAGGAAACAAGTTACAAAGAAGCTGTTTCTGTCATCAGACCCAGCTGCTTCCCAAGCCGACATGGAGCTCCTCTCTGTCATCTTCCCTCTCAGTCCTAAGCACCTGAGCTTGGCACTTTTAGAACACAGCAGCAAATCTGATGTCTAAATATTCCTTAGGGCAAGGATCTAACAAGAACTCTTTAGTAGGAAAAGTGGTCTCGGCTGCAAAAGGAGTTCATTCTTCTGTAATAACAGGATTTCCTGTTTCATTGAACAAGATGTCTTCTGGTGGGGTATGATCAGAATAGGTGAGTACAGGTGATCACAGAGTTCTGAGAAGTCCATGAGTTGCTGCTTTTCAACTTCCTTCACTGCTCTGCCTTATTCGGGATATTGCATTGCCTCTCAGTAATGAGATGGCTGTGGGATTACAAAATATCCAAAACAAGGAGTTCAGAGCCAACCAGCACATGTAGTTACCTAATTACTTGGTTGAATCTTGATTGTTTTTCTGAGAATTTAGCTGTAAAAGAGGGTTATTGAAGAGACCTGAAGTAGAGGAGTTGTTATCTGGGTCACCTATTCCTTCCATTTTAAGACAAAGATGGATAGGCTGAGGGGCCGTATTGGTAGGTGGCTCTTCAGAGACAACATTCTGATGAAGGGCTCTGAAAAACACCCTGGGGATTGAAGATTTTCTGAGTAAGCAATTAGGTGTCCTAATGAAACAAATTTATAGCTTGGTCCCTTTACCAGTCCAAGTTGCTCTGTGGATTGATAAAATTCAGGTTACTCTCCATAATATTTGGCTCCTTGTCTCATTCCTTACTGTTAATTTTATGCTCATGACTATCTTAGATCAATGAACATTTGCTGCATTTAACCAGTTTAATGAAAACCACTACGCAGGTCTCTGGGGAAAAATTATCATCAACAGTCTTCTTCAGCTGTAGACCTTTCATTCAACAGTACTGACAAGCCAGGCAAGATATGCTCACCAATGTAGTAAAAGCAAGTCTGTTATGAGGATAATCAAGTCTGGTATAAGGATAATCACTTCATGAGTAGATTTCAGGCCTTAGGAACTGACCATCAAAAGCCTGTGGCTAGCGGCCAGAGAGATGGCTCAATAGGTAAAGATTTTTGTTTGACAAGATCAATGATGTAAGGTTCAACCCAGAGCACATGTAAAAAGCCGGATGCAGTGGTACACATCTGTAATCCCAATACTCCTGTGGCGAGATGGGCGGCACAGACAGGAGAATCACCTGGAAGGTTTTGGCCAGCTAGCCTAGAGTAGGCAGCACAGTAGCACAGCAAGGGAGATTCTGCGTTGAAAACTAGGTAGAAGCACTGACTCCCAAAAGTCGTCCCTGGACCTACACACGCACACCCACACCCACATATACACACATGCAATAATAATGATCATGATTTTTTAATGAATTTTTTTGGTCTTTTTTTGGAAACCGGATCTCCCTGTAGCCCCAGCTGGTCTGGAACTCACTATGTAGACCAGGCCTGCCTCTCCCTCCCAAGTGCTGGGACTACAGGTGTGCACTACCACCCTGGCTTTAATGAATTTTTAAGGACTGTGGCTGGGGAGTTCATAGACCTTGGTAAGGAAGCTATTACTGTTGTTTTCCTAAATGGGGATGATGTGTCCATCAAAGTGCCTTCTAAATGACTATGTTTATGTCCATTGACTAGTGCCGCCATCAGCTTTAGTCAGAGAAGTTTCTTTTTGAGGGGTCAGCAGTATCTTCAGAGACTTATCATGTCAAAGTGTAGAAAATCAGTGACTGCTGAGTCCTTAACCCTAAATGGGACATCTAAAGCAACTACTCCAAGGCTCAAGAAATGTCATGGAACAAGGGGCAAAAAGAATGTTAAGAGCCCAAGAGAGAGGTAGTGGTGGTGTGGAGCACTGAACTTCTGTGTACAACATGGCCATTGCACTCTTGAACTCATATTAGCTGTGACTATCTGCAAAAGATTTGCACAAGATTGGGCCTGTCAACATAATGCCATGCCTGGGGAAGGGCTCATGGGACCCTACCCCTCCCTGGGGATATATAGGCAGTTAATGGTTGATGAAAGAGGGAGTGAATTTTTTTTTTAGTAGTGTAGCCATTGGTAAGGGATCCATGCTCCTGTAAATAAGCTCACTCCCATGGTCATGTAAGCAACTCTAATGAAAACTGTTGGATCACAAAAAAAAAAAAAGTAGAAGGGGGACTAGTTGTGAAGAGAAAGGAGATCAAGAGGAATGAGAAGGGACAAGAGAGGGTAAGGGGAAGGTGAATATGATAAAAATACATAATGTGCAAGTCGTAATGAAACTCACGTGTAATTAATATATGCAAATAAAAACATTCACAACTATTTCTTGGGTCAGACACTGCACAGTAGGCTGGAAGGTACATCATCTCACTGTATCAGAAGCAGGTATTGTTACTGTCCAAATTTGACTCATTAGGTGATTAAGTTCTCCTAGAAAGAAACAGTGAGAGAGAGTAGTACTGTGGTGTGGCTCCAAAACATGGCCTAACTTCCTGGCTATCCTAGGCATGAAATAGGATGAAAGAGACATTCCTCAATCTTCCTTAAATCCAAGTACATGCTGGTGGCACCCAATTATACTCAGAAGCAAAGCTTGGTGAATACGGTTCCTACCTGGCTGGCAACTGCTGAACTTATGTCCAGTCAACCTGCATTCTTCTTTTCTACAAGAACCCTATTCATGCCTCCTTGTTATGTATCTGTGATACTCAATAATTTTTGTTTTTAGAAAGGGTCTCGCTCTGTAGCCCAAGATAACCTGGAACTCATTATACAGACTAGGCTAGCCTTGAATTCATGGCAATCCTTATGAGTACTAGAATTATAGTCATGAACCACCATACCTAGTCTTAGCTGTCAACCTATGAAGCTAAAATTCCTTCTGGGGCAAAACATCTGGTCCCCTCCTCCTTTGGTCCCTATGACAAACCAAGGTTCAGTTTCACCAAACTGCAGTCTGGGAAACCAGTGAGTTTACTGGGTTTACTTACAGAGCAATGAGTGAGGTTTTATTTATAGGAATGTGGGTGCTCCCCTCCTAAGGCTGTATGGGAAAGTGACTTCTGCACATGCACAGTCACACAAAATGTCCAGACACCGTCCCTAAGGCTTCCTCAGTTTATATACTCTTAGCTCCTCCCCTTCGTGCAGCTAGGGCCAACTGGTTGATTTGGCAGGGTGGCTGGCTCTCCCTGCCCCACCTTTCCTGTTGAGAAAAACAGTTAACAAGCTTAGCTGTAATGATCCTAGGCAAGTGGGTACAACCAAGCTTGGGACAGATGGCATCTGTTCATGGTCTGCCTGTTAGAAGACAGTCCCATGCAACAACCTGATTGGATAAGGAAAGGCCTAGGAAACTGGTGAAGCACATCTCTGGGTACATGTGAAGGTATGTCCAGTGAGAATCAGATTATGTGGGCTCTTAAGTAATGAATGGACCAGTCCCTTAATGAGTTGGTAACTAGTTGCAAGAAGACAGCCCAACACAGTGACTAGCAGCCTAAGAAGTTTCCTTCTCCCTTTGCGACCTTCACTCAAATCCTCGACCATGCATGCTGCAGAAGAGGATTTCAGGGTGAGAGAGAGCAAAGCAAAGTCAGTATGTTGATCAACTACTTAGAGTGTCATATAGGAGTCATACAATCTCAAGACATGAATGTGAGCTAAGAGCATTCTGCTTAAGTGTCTTTACAATGGCTATATAGATGCTCTGGTGGCTTCCTAAGTTACAATCCTCAAAGGAATTCACAACAAGGTTTAACGATTATACAGGCTTAAAATTTAAGGGTTCAAAGTTAAAAATTATATGAATTGGTTTATAACTTATCTTAAAGAGTTTTACTTTGTAAATGAAATTTCAAGGTGGTTTTATGAGGTGCAATGTGCAGATTTAGGAATGAGAGAGAAGTTATTAATATTGTAAGGCTCAAGGTTACAAGCATTTTGGCCCTAAGAAATCATAGTTGATTGTTTTGAACACTGTTGTTTGTTTACGATGTCTTTTTAGAAAGTACATAGTATCTCTGCATTCAATTTTGGCTTTGTTAGTTGTATTGAAGTTTCCTGACTCTCAGTCAGCAGAAAAGGCAAACTAGATCCCAGAGTCAAGGACTTCTTTCTTTCTATGTTCTCCTCATCTTTATCCTGACTCAGATTCATACTATGTTGACATTGCTGAGAAATAGTAAAAGGTAGGAAGTGGGACCTTTGGAAGTAGATCAACTGGTGTGCTCTTAGGGTGTATTTTGCCCTGTTTTTTTCCTGTATTCTTGTTCTCTGCTTCCCACCTGTCAGGATGTGAAATGCACTGCTCTACCATGCCTTCCCTGCCATAATGGAGCTCCATCTCTGAAACTGTGAGTCAAATAAATCTTTCCTTTCTTGGGCTGTTTCTAACAGTTATTTGGTTACATGAATGCAAAAGTAATTATTATAGCATCTTAACATTCAGCTGAGTTTTAAGCAGGCCTGACATTTTCTCCCCACTTTTCCAACCACAGTCCACCTATAAAGTCCTCAGCTCCTTGAGGGCCTCTCCCCCTATTGGAAATTGTCCTTGTGCCTAAACAGTCAGAACACAATGAAACAGTGCAAAGATCTCAAGTGTGTTTTTATCTCTGCTATACAATACGGTAAATGTCACAATGAGTGTCGGGACCTATTTTGTGACCTATATACTTACTTTCTATCATGTAGGCAAAGACATTTTTATTCACTGAATTTGGGGCAATTGACTCAGATAATAATCACAAGGCACAAAGAGTGGAGAGTCTATCCTGGAGTCGCTGGAGACAAAAAGAACTTCCTCCTCGGGACACTCAGATCTGTCTCACCCGCCTCTCCATCCCAGGTTTCTCTACTGAAGACACAAAGAGCAGGTGGGCTGTGATGGCTCATGGTAGGTGTAAGACCAAGTGAGGACCTGCCCAGAAAGGCCAAAGGAGTCCTCTCCTTCTGGGTCATTTCTCATGAAAGGGTGAATCCTCAACAATGTGAACTTGGGGCTGGAGAAATGGCTCAGTAGTTAAAAGCGCTGACTCTTCTTGCAGAGGACCCAAGTTTCATTCCCAGCACCCATATGATGGCTAACAACTATCCTAACTCCAATTCCAGGGGATCCAATGCCCTCTTCTGACCTCCTGACCTCCACGGGCATTGCAAGACAGGGGTGCACTTACCCAATATACTCATACACATAAAATAAAAATAAAAAACAAAAAAAAATGTGAACTAGAGAGAATGACGGAAAAGAGGAATGTGATCATAGAAGCCAGCAGAGGGCGCAGGATTACTTGAGGCAATTTTCTTATTTTTTTTAATTTAATTTTTATTTATTATTTTTATTTTATGTGTATGTGTGTATTGTCCGCATGTAGGTAAGTGCACCCGTGTCATGCAATGCCCGGGGAGGACAGAAGAGGCTGTCAGATCCCCTGGGACTGGAGTTATGGACAGTTGTTAGCTGCCGTGTGGGTGCTGGGATTCGAACCTGGGTCTTCTGCAAGAACAACTAGGGTTCTTAACCGCTGAGCTATCTCTCCAGCCTCAATTTTCTTATTTCTTAAAAGAATTCTGGATGACTTAGAAGACGTCCCCCCCAACCTTGGGGGGTGGCTGGTATAACCATTTAAATTGATGTGGATTTCCACAGCATAAAAGGAGCCATTTTAATGTGAACAATCACGTAGAGACTAGAATCACACCCTTACATGGCACCTAGTGTGCTTGAGTTCTCAGAGATAACCTGCTGGTCTTGATTCTCTGGTGGGTGCGGTCAGTGCCCTATTGGGGTCCTAAAAGCTTACCTTGGCCACTTTCTTTCCTCGGGTTCATGAAGAAGTTGAAAGATGATATGGTATATTGTAAATAATTTTCTTCTCTTCTGAAGTAAAAATAACATAATTAATTGAACAATTTTGTGGAACTTAATACATTCACAGTATTGTGGAACCATCACACCTGGTTTCAAGACACTTTCATCACCCCAAAGAAGATGCTACACCAGTGAACACCGATTCCTCTTCTCACCCATTTCCCACCCCTAGCAGCAACCAACTGCTTGCTTTCTCTGGATTTACCTACTTTGTATATTTCAAAGGAACGGAATCTATAATGTGTGACCTCTGCATCTGACTTTCTTCTTTCAGCATGTTTTATGCAGTCATTGACAGTGTAGCATAAATCAGTTTGATTCCTTTCTTTTTCTTAATATCCCATTATGTGTGCAACTCGGTCACTATGCATCCCTCAATTGATAAGACATTTAAGTCAGTTCCACTTTTTGGTGAGCAAGAATAGTGCTGTTTTAACTGTGAACATTCACTGAAGTTCTGGAGGGAGAGGAGATATTAGACTATCACTTTTTTTTCACTTACAAAATCGGTGTGTTTAACAGACATTCAGGAGTCTGAGGCTTGAAGATGACATTCAAAGAAAAGATACAAGAAGCTTCCACTCTTCACCTACCTAAGGAATTGGACTTAAGGACAAGGAATTCCAGGTTGGAAATGGGTGGGGAATTTTACATCCAACAAAAAACACCGAGACTTCCTCTCTTTCAACAATGGAGGATATTTAGAACCCATTTTCCTCAGCCTCGTAGAGATAAAAAAAATCCCTTAGATTTTTATTTTTACAGCTTTGTGTGTGTACAATGATGTGTATGTGTGTAGCATGTATGTGAAGGCATGCATGTGCCACAGTGAGTGTGTGGCGGTCAGAGGACAATCCTGGATGTTAGTTCCTGCCTTCCATTTATTTGAAACAAGGTCTTCTGTTTGCTGCTGCCTAGATCTGACTAGCTGGCCTGGGAACTTCTGGGAATCCCCGCCCTCCCATCACACTATAAGAACTCTAGGATTACAGACACATCCAGCTTTACCTGGGTTCTGAGGATTCAGAATCAGGTCCTCAAGCTTGTGAGGCAAGAGCTTTGTTCACTGAGCCACCTCCCCAGCAGTCTCTCTTTTTTATCAAGGGGAGCAATCTCCTTTCCCCAGTTAACCTATTTCACAGTGAAATTTGCATATGTTCTAACCTTGGTCTGTTGGCTGCCTACACATTATAAGATGGCTGTAGGCACAGTGGGGAAGAAATGAAAGCCCCACACTTCTGATCAAACTGTTTTCTTTGCCAATTTTTATTTCCTAATTTCTTGGAAACACAGGTGCAGTATTTTTCTCATTGCTGTAACAAAATACCTGACAAAAGCAACTTAAGGAAGTATTTATTTAGGCTCTACCTCTGCTGGAAAGGCAAGGCAAGAGGTGCTTTAGCTCTGATGGCAGGAGGGTGAAGTCCCACTGTGTAGTCAAGAGGTAGAGAGCAAGATATGAATGCAGGTGCTCAGCTGTCTACTCCCCCCCTCTATATTCAGGACAAGACACCCACACCACACACATGCGAAGAAGACACCCCCCACAAGGTGAGTTTTCCCTCTTCAATAAACCCTCTCTGACACACCCAGAGGTATAGCTCTTTGGTGATACTTAATCCAGTCAAGTTAACAATGAAAATAAATCATCAGAAGGAGAAAACTGAGGCAGCAGGTTTACTGCCCTACGTGCCTGATAATACTGCTATGAACATTTATGTACAATTATTGAAGTACTTGCTTTCAATTGATTTGGGGATTTAATCAGGAATAGGGTTGTTTGTTCATTTGGTAATTAACTTTTCATGGGATCGCCAACCTGTTTTCCATAGATGCTGAACCACTTTACATTCCTACCAGCAATGTTTAACCATCATCCTGATTCTTCACATCAACAAAATTATCCCAGGACACCAAGCCTCTAGAGACTCTCCTTACCAATGAAGTACGGGTTGGGAGATGCCACCTCTAGCAGCAAGACTCGTACATACAAAACCTCCAGGTTTGCTTTTTCCAGGTTTAAGGTAGTTTACAGGAGCTTCTCCTCCAAGGTCACCTAGGGGCACCAGCCACATGCAAACGTGAACCCCCATAATCTCCTGTTCCAGAGACATCTGATACCTCGGCCTCACAAGAGCTCATTAAACTCCTACACAGTGAAGCTGGCATCCAGAGGCAGAAGGAAGCAGCTCTGCCCACTGCCCAGAGGCTTCAGTTCTGCTCATCAAGGGTGGATGCAAAGGCCTTTCACAGCCGCGCCCTCGGATCCCACGCCCTGGGTCTCGGCCCAGGCTGGCTCGCAGGGGCAAAGAGCTTCTCGCCCAACCGAGACAAAGGAGAGCCCTGGCTGCCCGCTCCCGGGTTACTCTAGGTCAGCACACGCCCCCGAGGTTACTCACTTTCCCTCGGTCCACAGCGCCTGACCCCAAACAGCCAATCAGCAGCCACACTGCGGGTCTGCTGCCAAGTGCTCCAATCAGGAGGCACCGCCCCTGCATCCTTGCTCCGCCCCTTGGCCTTCCCGTCTGGCCGGGAATGGGAGCTGCGCATGCGCCATGCAATACTGCGCTCCTGGTGCTTCAGGCAGAGAGTAAATGGAGAGCTAACTTCGTGACAGCGCTGGGTGCTTCCCTCCTTGCTTCCCTCTCTACAGGAGAGAAACGCAGAGCTGTAGGCTCCGCCCGACCATTCCCTCCCCCACGACGTGACCTTGGATGTGGGCTCTAGTCCCCAGCTACCTCCCAGGTGGGAGGACTTAAGAATGGCGCGGGGGTAAGGGGGGGTGTTTGTACCCACTGCCCCTGTCTGCCATTGTGCAAACACTTAGAGTCAAAAACAGGCTAAAGACTAGGCTCTGGCTGGGAGGGCATGTAGGGAGAAACCAGGCCGCTATCACCAGGCATGAAGAAGTAGGAGCAAAAAGTGCTGGGGAGGCTGTGAATGCCCTCTAGATTGTTTATTGGTGATAGGGGCTCTTAAGACTTGTGACAGAAGGATAGAAAAGTCTGTTTCAGAAAGTTACATTAGTGCAACAGCACCCAGAAGGGGCCAGACTAAGTCTACAAGGTCAGATCTAGGTTTGCCTTTTTTTTTTTTCAATCTTTCTGAGAAAGGGTCTCCCTGTAGCCCCAGCTGGCCTGGAACTCATTATGTAGACCAGGCTGGCCTTGAACTCACAGAGATCCACCTGCCTCTGTCTCCCAAGTGCTGGGATTAAACACGTGTGCCACCACGCCTGGCTAGATCCAGGTTTTCTTAACATTTCTTTGTGGGGCATAAGATCTTCAAGTCTAGGGATGTGTTGGAATGGAAAAAGAAAGGCACGCCTGAGAGGCATTTTGGAGCAGAACAAAGCCTCAAATCATCCCTTCTGTGACATGGGGGTTGGGGGGAGAGGATCAGATGACATACTTAGGAAAGTTGGGAGAGGAAGTTTTCACAAGTGAATAGAAGCTCAATTTTGTAGGAGTTGGAGTGCAAAATGTACATGCCCGTGGAAGCATTACCCAGTAGACTACTGGATACTGAAGAACCAGAGCTGGTGTTTGGGAAAGAAATAGAGGATGTCTAAAGGGTTTATAGTGAAGGTAGGGAGAAAGTTGGCTACATAGGAAGGAATTGTAGCATAAAGTTTAACAAACATTCTGTAGAAGCAACAACACCTCAGAGATTGAAATAAGAGAGCCAAACGAAGAATTATCACGGACAGAAACACTAAATAACCCTCCAAGACAGGTGGAAAAAGAATTCTAGGAAGAGGGGAAAGGTGGTGTATTATTGCTAATTGGGTTGCAAACCTCTATTACTAGCTGTGAAATGTACTCCCTGCATCTGAGAGCCTGTTTGTGTTAGAAATGCTCTCTACTGTTGAGCCCCCAGCCCATGCCCATTTTATTGCTGTTGTATTTAATTTGTTAGTTATATGCCTGGTTTATGCAGTGCTAGGGACCAAACCCAAGGCTTTGTGCATGCTATACAAACACTTTACCAACTGAGCTACCTCCTAGTCCAGTAACAGTAAATGTGTGACCTCAAAAGTTCCTGAAGGAAATTTTAGGGTGAGACCTGTTCTGTGACTTGATTGAGGTGGTGGATACACAACTGTATACAATGGCCAAACATCTCAGTGAATGCCTTGAGTAAAAAGGGACTGTTGATAGTCTGTCCTTCCTATTATAGTTCTGGTGATTAAATGACATAAGAAAACACAATGGCTGCCACACAGGTAGTTGTTAGTGCAAAAGAGAAAAGTGACCCAGAACCACTGCATGGAATGGTAACAGCTTGAGTACCAGCACTGCAAGAATGATTACAGACCATATCTGGCCCTCCAAAACAACCTTACACAAATAAAAGATTCTGCATGGGATCTGTAAGTGGCTGGACCAAAAACAGTGGAAGAAATTGAGTACTTTTAGACTGAAAAAAGGAAAGTTTTGGATATGCATTGGCAGCTCAGTTACAATGTGTCAATGAGGAATTCGACCTTTTTCTTACTGTTCCAGAGGTCTGGAGCAAAAAAGTATGTATGAACAAGAGTGTGGCTGTAGAAAGGGAGAAGGACTTATATAAGCGGAAACCTCAAGATTTCACTAAGTCCTGAGAGGGCTGTTGCTTGCCAGATGCTGACAACACCCCAGAGGCCTAGTGGTCACCCACAGTCCTTTCTTCCTGAAACTTGCCTTTTATAACCAGCTCTTTCCTAGACATGCAAAGTTTTCTCCTCAAGGAAACAGCTTACCTTTGGAGAGAAATACAGGACTCCTGTTCTATATTGTTGTCCTGGTAGACCTCCCCTTCCTTTATCAGAAGATGGAAAGCAAACACCAAAAAAACTGGCCTAAGTAATATCTGCAGCCCTAGATGATGATACCAGCAGTATTTTGGATAGGAGCCCGAGTAAGTGGGCCAGCTTTCAGGGGACCTTGAATTTTAGACTATTCCCTCATGAAATCCAGGGTCTATAGGACATAAGGGTCAAGCAAATGTGGACCTTGAGTTGCGGTACGTGCCTGTAATCCTAGCACTTGGGAGGTAGAAAATCAAGAGTTCAAGGCCAGCCTCAGCTATATAGCAAATTCAAGTCTATGTCAGACCTAGTCTAAGAGAAACAAATAACAACATACATGGGAAGTTACAGAAAACTGATCTTGAAATTTTCACCCACAATTATAGGTACACACCAAAAGAAATCCCAAATCTTCCTTGAGAGAAAAATGCTCAAAGGTTTGTATATTGAAACTTAATCCCTCATGTGAAAATACTTGGAGAGGAGGCTTGGGAAGTGATTAGGTTATTGGGGCCAAGTCCTCCTTAATGACATTAGTATACCCTTCCCCCAAGTGAAGACAAAAAAAGATGATCACCTGTGAAACAAGATTCTCATCAGAAGACATTAAATCTGCAGATACTTTGATCTAGAAATCCAGCTTCCAGAACTATGAGAAATACATTTCTGTTGTAAAAGCCCCACTGTCCAAGGTAGTTTACAACAGTCCAAATGGACTAGGATGAAAAATAAACTCACGGCTCTAGTAAGTTCTTCTGGGCATTGGAGAACCAGTATGCTTGCTGCAAATGAAGGCGAGGTTCTAAGCAGTGGCTCCCCATCAGTGCGTGCAGACTCAAAAACTGTGGGATATCCAGGAAACTTGTCACTGAGTAGGTTAGAGTTCCCCAGAGGCCTTAACATACTGCTTAACCAAGGTGTCTGGAACCTAACTACCTAAAGTCAGATAGAGCAATGGTCATGAGAATACCTGGGTTTGATAGGACAGGTCAATGACTGATCGTGAAACTGTAATTACAGCCGGGCATGGTGGCACACACCTTTAAGTCCAGCACTTGGGAGGCAGAGGGAGGTGAAGCTCTGTGAGTTCAAAGCTACCCTGGTATACATAGTGAGTTCCAGGCCAGCTGGGGCTATAGGGAGATCCTGTCTCAAAAAGACACGCCCCCAAACAAAACAAAAAAACAAAAAAACCCCTCTAATTACAGCATTATCTTCATTATCTTGCCAAATAAAAGAGGTGGTGAGCAAGAAATACAACAATCAAGTTAAGAATCTCATCAATAAGGAATCTTGTTTTGATATCTTGAGACAAGCTGTCCAGAGCATGAAGTATCATCCTTTCATCTTGTTTTGTAACTCAAATGTCTCTGTTGATGCACAAGATATTTTTGTGAGTGTTGTGTGTGGCCCACACATGAGACAGGAGGCAGTTCCCTGAAATTTACATGCAGTTGCCCAGATCTAGCTTAGAGGGCTATAGGACCCAAATAGTTCTTATTCTTACTGATTGTACAGGACAACATTGAGATAGAAGCACATGGAAATTCAACACCCAAAGGTAGAAAACAATCATCAGGGTCACAGTCCCATAACAGGTATGATGTGAAGCGTAATTTTACTCTCTTCATCCACATTTCTGCAAAAATATGTTTAACATAACAAAACTCTGAGTTATCGTGTTAAAGAAAAATAACCTGAAATTACAAAGTTACAAAAAGTTTTATTTAAAAAGGTTTTTCTTATAAAAAATGTGTAAATGTTTTTCTTATTTGTATTCACCTAATTAACTCATTATTTATGGTTTTAAAAAACTTGCTAATGGAAGCCAGGTGTGGTGGCACACACTTTTAATCTCAGCATGGTGGAAGCAAAGGCAGGCCAATCTCTGTGAGATCCAGGTCTATAGAGAGAGTTCCAGGCCAGCTGGAGCTGCATGGAGACCATGTCTTAAAAAGACCAGAAAAAAAATTATTTTCCCATGGAAAAAAAGATTACCTATCTTCTAAGTCGTTGGGGGTGTTTTGTTTGTTTGTTTGATGTTTTGCCTTTTTTCTTTTTGAGGAGAGGGACACTGAGACAAAGTCTGCCTGCAGTTCAGGCTGTTCAGGAACTTATTCTCTATGCCATGCTGGCTTGAACTCATGATCATCATGCCTCTAGCTCCCAACTACAGAGAATACAGGCACAGTCAACTACTGTAGGTGTAAGCTATTTTATGACAGACCTAGAAATCATGGAAAATATTAATGTAGAACTCAGTGGCACTCAGCAGGAATCCCGAAGATCTGAAGCTGAGACAGGAAGATTCTGAATTCCAGACCCTGGATTATATAGTGAGACCCTTTCTCCAAAAAAAAAAAAAAAATCCTTAACAGAAAACAAAAGGTAAACACAGCTACTTCCTCTGCTTTCTACGTAACTAAGTTGCATCAAACAGATTCATTTCAATGTGCAATCTGGTCTTGGATTTATAATTTCGAACCTAAATCTCAAGTGAATTTTCCCTTCCATCCAAGCTT